ATACTCGAACGGACAGAAGGTCGTACATGGGGTAACTCGAGAAGAGCCACGAGACTTTTTCAAGGTTCCAGTTGATTACGCACTAGCTCACTGCGTGGCAGAGGATCTCCAATTGTCCAAGGGTATCGCTGTGGCGACGATGCTCGACCAGAATCTCGTGGACTTGGCAATCCCGACATTGGCCTTTGGGCTCGACAGGCTGGACTAGAGAATTGTGAGAAGCATTTTGGAAACGATCTTCAGATCTAGCGGCATCCAGATTTTAGTGTGCGGTAACCATCTTCCACGACCGAGCATGAAGACTGTGGAGTGTTACTTCCATCGAACTTCACAGTGCAGATATGGGGAATCCTGCAGTATCAACACACGCCAAGGATGACATTTCGGGGCGAAATGTCTTTAAGAAGGGGCAATGTAATGAATCTGAAGCTGGCCCTGACCGATATCTCAGCAAGCAAATATATGACTCATCGGGAATGCACTCGATAAGCCACCTTGAATAATCCAGGCCAGTGCCGAAATCCCTAGAGAGATCCGGAGCGTTTGTTGACGATATAAAAAGGCGTCACTTCTAGTCGGCCAGGCAGTCTGTACTTAGAAAGTGAATCGTGCATTTAAAGAAAGAAATCTAACTGTGAAGATAAATTAAGCGTTAGTTACTAAGTGTTGTATATAAATTAGTTGTGATAGTGAAATATTGTTAAAAATAAATTTGATTAAGACAGTTAACTCTTTATATCGTTACAATATATATTTTTTTCGATGTCCTAATTAGTAATAAAAATATGGAAAAGCTTGAGAAAGCTAATGTGTTGCGATTGTTTGCGGTTTTGTAAACTGTGAAATTCTCACAATAAAGTGTTAACTTGATTATAGTTCGAAAACCTAAAATGAATCCACATTTTCTTTAATAACTACAGTAAACCAGAACGAGGATTTGAGAACCCTGGTGGAGACTGATCCATCACAAACGGTGCATATGGAATGGCGTCAGTTCCCATGTGGTTTTTGATAGTTTAAAACGTATTGGAAAGGTGAAAAAGCTCGTAAAGTGGATGCTACAATTTAGTGATCGACAGAAATTGTCACGCTACGAGGTCTGTTCTTCTTTGCATTTGCGCAAACGAAACGATCCTTTTTTGGATCCGATCGTCACGTGGATTCTCTACGACAACAAGAGATGTTCAGGACAGTGGTTGGACATCGATGAGTCACCCAGGTACTTCTCAAAGGCGAAAAACCCACCAAAAGAGACCATGTTTACTATATGGTGGTCGGCGACTGGTGTGATTCACTATAATTTTCTGCAACAGTGCTAAACCATCACTGAGAGAAAATTGGTGAAATGTACCGAAAATTGCGTCAGTTGAAGCAGGCACTGGTCAAGAGGAGAGGTCCAATCCTGCTCAACGACAACGCTCGTCCACAAGTTTCACAAATCACCGTGCGGAATTTTAAGGGAATTCAGCGTCGAAGATCTGCCCACCCACCATACCCCCCAGACCTCTCGACAACTGACTATAACTAGTAACTGACAAATAACTAGTAATTAAGACTATACCTGGTTCATGCACATGTTAACATAACCATAATTATTCTTTTTTTGATATATTTACTATACTACCGACAATAATATCATATAAACAAAAAAATGTTGAACACTTTTTCATTCATTTTTGAAATTATTCAAATAAATACAAATTTGAAACTTTTTCTCTGGTCAATAACAGCTGTAAATATTTCAATTTGGCCCAAGCTCACTTTCGTTTCTACTTAAACTCTCAGTCATCAATTAAATGTTGGCCAACTTTCTAGTCATGGTTCTTAGTCCAGTTTCCATTAACGCTTTCGTTCATTTGTTATGGCCGAACTCTTGGTTCATATAGTGTAGCATAAATCCGGTATTAGTCATTTGATGATTATTATAAAAATCAAACCGAGTCATCAGTAGATTTAAACTCTCAAACAGTAGATCAAAAGCCAAAATAGGAGGTCTACTGCAGAAACAGTGAATGCGGTAACACTGAACATGACGCTCCTCTAGTGCGACTTTTTCTTCATCAGCAGTGGGTTCCCAATATTTCTCAGTCTTATTGCATTACGGTTTCGTTGTGCAAGATTCGATCTTGTCGCTCACGGAATTGTGAGTAATACTGTGATGGACATTGCTGACTTTGCTTCTATTATGACAAAAGATTTATTCATAATCGCATAATCACAAAAATGTCATGACAATTATCATAACTTAACAAATCGAATGTCTTCAATTTGTTCAATCTTTTCTCACCCAACACGATTTTTGCGACTTTGTTTAATATATTAGATTATGGATTAGATATTTTTCTCACCCATTTTCGTTAGGTGGTCCCAGAGCTAAGCCGAATACTCCATCGGTCCATTGGAAGTTGACTCCTCCAACAGTCAAGTCTCCATGAAGGGGATCGAAATAGAAATAGTTGTGTTTGATTCTCCATGAATTATTGTCGGCGAAAGAATAACAAAGTAGGTATAACGCTTGTTTTCCAATTGATTGGCAAAAGAGAAAGTGCGTTAATCATACATTTTTTGCGACAGACAACCTTGAGATTTCAGAGCATCATTGTACAGAGAATGTTTATGAACTCAATTATGAAATCCTAATAACTATTATACTTTTTATCACCTTTTATTGGATTGTTGAAGGAAACATGATCTCTAATTCGAAAACCCCCTTTGTTTATTCACAATTCATACTAATCAAACGTAAAATTATCTGAAATGAGATTGAAATGTTTTGAAAAATTCAATAATTTTGGTAAGTTAAGCTAAGTAATTATTTTTTGTTTGATAGGTTATATGTAATATTTTATTTTCTTCTATCAATACGTGGCTTTTTCTCGTGAATTTTATTACATTTTTTTAGAGAAAAGCCTATATAAATTGTGGCACCGGAAATTATTATCGATATCCCAAAGCCTTCTATTAAAATTTATGGATAGGTGAATATGTTCTAATTAAGTTTTCCAAATAGTTTTTCATGTTTCCTAATGTTTTTCCTTTCTTTTTGAATTTATCATTTTATAATATATATA